AGCTTCTATTGCCCTTTGCACTCTTGCAATAATCTTAAATTACTACAACTTAATTGCAATTTCAAGGCACTAAAATTGAGGTTTTTTTATTTGAATAGCATAAGGAGGGTCTGTGTGGGGGAGGGGGGAGGAAATCACTTAGTCCTACTCAGGTACTAAGTTCTTTCTGAACAGAAACTGGTTTTGTTCAGTCTTTTCTGTATTCTCAGTTGTTTATGGAACATTATCTTCATTTTCAGAATGGGACTGAATAAATAACTATCCAGCTTATTCACACAAACACCCTGTTATACATAATACTGTGCACTTCAGGTATATAGATTGGTGCCAGGAGACTAGAAAGACAAAACCCGAGAGTACACTTGTAGAGAAGTCTGCAAGCTAATTTTTTCTGTAATTAGGTAGGTTTAAGAAAAGAGTAAGAAAGAGAGGATGTTAAAGTACTCAAGACATTCCAATCAATATGTGTCTGATCTTCTAAAAATGAAGCAGCCCTTTACATCTTTGAACACCAAAAAATCTGAATCAATAAAAATATTGAAACTATATAAAGTTTGTATAATTAAGTCTTTCCTGATTACTGTATTGTTTATTCCATCCTACTTCCTCTATACAGAATACTCAGTGACATCATCTTCTTACCTATTGTAGCTGCAATTACCAACACAGGAATAGCAATGGGAATCAAGCTATATAGTAGTTTATGAGATCAGTAGACTGTGAGCAAGTGCTTTAGTTAGGGCAAAAGAAAACAATTCTACAGACAGCCAATCTTGTTTAATTTCCTACCACAGTAAGACACATGAAAAGCATTCAGCTAACAAAACAATTCAAATCATCATTTAACTTCACTATGGCTAGGATCCAAATAAGCTCTTAAGCATGTGTATAACTTTAAGCATGTGACGTCAATAGGACCATTAGTGCTTAAGTTAAGCACAAGCTTGAGATTGAGTGCTTTGCTGGGTCAGGGTCTATGAGAATAGCTGCCTTTACTGCAAATATGCTGTAAGAGTCCAATGCAAAATGTCTACAAATTTGACCCACTCATTGAATGAGTGTCTTTGACTACTCATTTAATAAGTATTGTGACACATGTGGGAGATAGCAAGTTATTCATCTGAGACACTTGCAGTGCCAAGTCATAAATGGAATGAGCTGCAGTACAGACAGTGCAAGCCATACGTGTAGTTTTTCCATTTTTATTTTTATTTTTTTGTTACTACCTTAATACTGAAACCAGTCATTATTTCCTTCAGGTTTTTATAAAATTTCCCTCCTCCCCCCCCCCAAAAAAAAAGAAAATCTCTCTTATGGAAGTGATTATGAGAGACAGTAAAGACTCTTTTGGGGGGTGGTTCTGATCTAATGCACATATATATTTAAATATTGACAATGTGCAAAATATGTATTCACCCATTCGCTAAGTTGCTTCTATAAGTGCCCAATCCTGCGCCCACTGAAGTCTGATCAAAGTTTTGCTATTGGATTTTTACTTCTGTGCAAACTTGATAGGCCCTTACATGAAACTACAGTACAACATGCATTTAGAAAGGTAAGAAAAGGCCTAAACAAATGCAGTTCCTGTTCAAAGGAAATCAACTACCTGTGCAAATCTAGCTGCAGTTTTCTCCAACCCTTTCTCAGCTGCATAAAACATTTCAGCTCCGTCCCTTGAAGTTGCCATTAAACTGTAGTAATTTAAGATTATCATAAGAGCAAAGGGCAGTAGAAGCTCTTCGTGAGCCCTCTCACCACTTAATGCTACTCAGTCTTGGGGTTAAATGAGCTTCTTTAGTATAAGTACCTTAAACCAACTGAATCATAAACAAAATTTATACTATTTTCTGACAGCATATGATCTATTTCAATTTTATTAAAGCATCTCTGAGAAAATGTAGAAAGACAAAAGCACCATTGAAGTATAAATAACTGGACAGACTTGCTGAAATAACCATATTATAAATACAAATTCTACATGAATGCATGTTTTACATTTTATAAACACACACCAGAAAAATATTTCATGAAGAAACTGTCATCCAATTCAAACGATCAATATACATAGTCATAAGAATATTAAATACTTAACTGTATTCCATGAAAAATGTTGCTGTTTACTACTAACCTTTTCCTTAATTTTTACAGTATCATGAAACAAAATGGATTTGAGAGGCTTACATGTTTATGGTATTCTCATAGTAATGATGTTAGTTCAAATTTAAGCTCTGTGAAACAGCGATCTTCCCTAATAAAATAGCATTGCACTACATTTGCAACACGACAGTGTTCAATGTACAATTCTTCACTTAACTCTTTTTTCCTTCTCTTACCAGTATAAAAACCAGCTTGGTTACTATTACTATTCCTGGTGGAACTGATTTAAGGAGAAAATATTTATAGCTATTAAACATTACATATTACCCAAAATGGCTTAATAGCATACATGTGTATGTTTAACATGCATACTTTAATTAGACAATAAAAAGTATATGCTATAAAAAACTACTGGCTTTGCAATAAGTTGTGCAGCATGGTGATGAAACCTTGGCTTATAAAAAAAAGTATAAAGTGCTTATTGTGTGTCTGTACTGCTAATTAAAGAAATACTTAAATGATACAGCTTTTTTTTTTAATCGTGCAATACATGTTCACTTGTTGTTTCCTGCATACATTAATATAGCAGCTTTTTACTTAATTTGAAAATCTCTATTTCCATTGTTTTAGGATATTTTATAGCAAGAAACTAGGTGTTGAATAACATTTGCAGAGTTTACACTGGAATACAGAATCCTACAAAAGGTTTAAAGGAATATAAATATCTAATTTGAGTTGATACTTTGGTTGTTTTACTTTGAGAAAACCATAATACGCTATGGTACTACTTTCTTTAAACAAAAGTATAGTAATTAAGTTTATATAAATTAGACTCAAAGGGACATGACACACACATTTTGTAAAAATCAGGACATGGCCAAAATATGAAATCTCATAGTTTGATGCTATATTTAGAAAACTACCTTTTTGTTTTCTAAATTCCAAGAACTGAGTGAAACTAAAAATAAGGCAAAAAATAACAAAATTGTTCTAGTCCACATCAGAACACCTCTCTCTCTCTCTCACACACACAGCTTCCTGACAATTCAGAAATTCTAGAATTTCAGAGATAAACTTCATAAAACTTTAATTTTTTGCTAACATGTTAGTGAACTTCTATTTTATTTATGCTACCTAGAATTGCAGAGAACTGTAAATCAACTTAAAACTGAATACAACACAGTCCCAAAGACTGATTAATTAACTCGTTCTGCAAGTCAGAATCTGAAGAGGTAGAAAAACACTGAATTGAAATACTAGAAATAACTTTGAGAAAAAACATCTTTTGGTTTCAGAACAAAGATCAGCATTTGTAATGGTCCATTTCTGGGTAAGTGAACATATAACCTTGCTGCCTGATCGAATAGTCCAGAGCTTTCAGTGAGGCAGCTCCTGACAACAGCCCAGCAGCAGAGTTGTTTGATCTCTACTGCCTTCCTTAATCTGGGTTGTCAAGGTTCACTTGTTGGAGGCTGTTTACTTTACTTTTTTCAAAAAAGCGATTTTTTTTTTCTCCTCTCTCTCATACAATGACTAATCCAAAGACTAAGGGGAAAGAATGCTGCCAATGCAAGATGTTAAAGCTACACTACCTTTTTGCAATGAGATTTTAGCCGACACCTTTTGAATGGTGACTAGTGGAGATTCCTCCCCCACCCATCACCCCCATTTCATTCTATATAATTGTGCAATAGTTCAAATACAATTTGGGGCAGGAAGGGGGATTTAGAACAGAGAACTTGAAACCAAAAGTTCAAGTTTCCCCTCCTTCCCTGGAGCCCCTCAATCTAGGTTCAAAGATGCATAGTACACTTCCTCCTTGAGATCCACTTTGTTATTGTAGAACTCAAAATATTTAAAAACCTCTCATGCTTAACACGGAAGAAGAACACAGGATTTGCCTTCTCAATCAGATAAATTGTAAAATACTATTAAGTATTTCAAACATCTATTTCTGTCTTCCAATAAAATGAAACCAAAGACAACTACTACCTTAAGGAGTATGAGAAGTACATTTCTTGAAAGACATACTTACAAGTAATTATCTGCCTAGTTAAGAGAATGTAATTAGTTATACTGATGTTTTATAAGTCGGATAACCAAAGCAAATTCATAACAGAAAAAGCTAAATTTAAAACAAGTGTCATTTAAAGTTTTTTTTTAAAGGAGTATAATTATTCAATACTCAAGGATTCAGAATCATCTACTGTACAGACACACTGTGCAAATACTGTACACATTACTCATTCACAGAACAGTTACTAAAAGTGAAACCCTAAACTTCTGATAGGATAGGAGATCAAGCCAGAACTCTCCACAGAAGTAGAATTCAGAAGCACTTGTAGCCGTTAAATGAAATGCTTGGTGGGAGCATTATGTCTGACGAGTTGACACTGACAGTCATATTGTTTTTAAAAAGTGCCATTTTAAGAGTTTTTTGGTTCACTGAAAGCAACAAATTGTAAGACCAATGCCTAGAATGAAGGCAGGCTAAAAATCAATACACTTTGTAATCAACCCAGCAACGGTATTTAAACACAATGAGTTGGAAATAATTAATAGTTATAAAGTGGGATGGGGGGGGGGGAAGGAAGCATGTCACTGTATTTTATAGCAGCACTTACACTGTTAGCTAAATTCTGATCCCATGTTTTCTTGTTAAAAAAGACAACTCCATGTTTAATACATCCTGCAGCATGTACTTTTCCCCCTTCGGTTTCACTGACCTGAAATAAACGTTTCAGCCTGTAGCTTTTGTAAACTAATCTGTACCCTTTATGATAGATGTTCCCCTGGTTTCTCTTTATTTGGGAGTTTGCTTTTGGAGTGGGGAAGTGTGTGTGTGGGGGGGTGTCCTTTATATCCTTATATGTAAAAGCCTCCGCCGATTTCCCTATACTTACCGGGAGATAGCAGTGAGAGAGGCTCTGAGTGAATGATCGCCAGTACACAGCTCCTCAGCAAAGGCTGCTGCTGCTCCGGCAGGCAAAACTTGGGGCTCTACGGTCGAGAAGAAACCAGGGGTTCTTTCAACAAGTCTCCAGAAGGCAGGTTTGGTAAGGGGGAGGAGGGGGGGGAGAAAATGTGCAGTGTTGAGGGGGAGGGGGAGAAAGAAGAGGAGCCGTGAAACACTTGCAAGAAACGGGATCAGGAAATAGATCTCAGGACTGAGTGGTAGTAACAGGATCTAAAAATCTCCCCTCATCGCCATTCAGCGGAGATCTGCGCTTGCAGAGTTGCACCAGGGGGCAAGTGGCAGGGCTGGGTCTGGAGTTGCAAATGTTTATTCAAACACTTCATCTCAGAAGAGAGGGAGGGAGGCTGGCAACGGAGCAGGCACCGAAGGCTGGGGACGATGCGCGGTGCTGGGCTCGGTGTGTGTGTGTGTTACACTGGCGGGGGTGCCCGGGAACGCCGGGCGCAGAGGCATCTGGGCTGAGTGCTCTGGAAGCGACAACAGGTGGTACTGATGTGGAGGGGCGGGAGGCAGGACTTGCTCCAGCAGTGGCAGCAAGGCGGGGGGAGTGAGGGAAATCAAGGTCCCCGTTGCGCTGGGGGAAAGAGGACAGTCACTGGCCGCAACTTCTCCGCACGCTGCCTGCAACCGCGCCGCGTGTGCGCCCCTCCAGCCAGAGCCCCCAGCTCCGCGCGCGCAACTCCCGCGGGGCAGGGATCGCGCCCGCCGCCTTGCGGCAGCCCCGGCTCCCGGGAAAGCGCCGAGCCCAAGCCTGGGGACGCTCAGCGGCGCGGCCGGCCCCCTGCGTGCGCGTGGGCTGGGCTCGGGGCGGGGGTGTAACTGAGCGGGACCTTCCCACCCTTCCCTCCGCCCCACGTCTGGAGGGTCCCCGGGGGAGCCCGCGCGCTCCTCCCCGGGGCGCCACTCCGCGGGAGCGCACCGCGGCGTGACACCCGCGCGAGCGGCAGGCGAGCCCAGCCCCTGCGTGCGCGGAGGGGCGGGTGCGCCCAGGGCCCGTGCGCTGAAGTTCACGGGGAGGGGGCAGAAGATGGATAAAAAAGTTTCCAAAGTGAGAGCAGAAGGGGGG